AAATTCGTTTCATTAATAAAACCATATCAAAATATGAATCATTTTTTTGATTTTATTCAATTATTTAATGATAATAAATGTATGTATGAAAGAAAAAAATTTCGAATGTGATTTAACATGATTTTTTGTATTAGTTTAGCTGTTAATATAACAACAACGACGACGAAAATTGAGAATTTAATTGAATCATTATTAAAACTTATTCATAAATGTTTAGTTTGTTTGGGTGATCTTAGTAGATATTTAAGTGAATATGATGGATGTATACAAACAGCAGAGAAATATTATACAATGGCGGTATTACTTGATCCAGAAATTGGTTTGTTTGTTTTTTGTTTTAAATTTAAATAATTATTTGATTGTTATATTTAAGGTATGCCATTAAATCAATTGGGAACATTATGTGGTCGATCGAATGTTAATTGTGATGCAGCTTTTTTCTATTTACTTTGTTTGAGTACAACACATCCATTTGATGGTGCAAAAGATAATTTACAAATGCTTTTCGAACGAAATGAAAGACGATTTTTAGAATTTAATAAACAACAGGCGAAAAATCGAAATGATAAAACAAGGTTTGTTTGAGAATATTTCCAAAAATCTATAAGATAATTTTTCATTTATAGTAATCGCGAAATTCGTCGTTTTCTTGTTGAATTTTTACATGTTACTCATCAATTACTTGAATCAAACAATATGTAAGTCTAACAAAAATATTTTTACGATAAAGAAAAACCTTTTTAATTTAGTGGTCAAATTCAAGAATTAGGTCAACAGACATTAAATGATTTTAATGCTTGTATGTTTTATCAAAATGATTCATTACTTTCTGATGATCTTGTTTTTAAATTATTATCAATATCAATGATGCTTGTTGATCGTATTCAACGTACACGTAGTCGAACAGTTAAACGTAAATATATATTTCTTATTGTTTATTTTTTTCATAACTGATTTTCATAGAAACAATACTTTTTGCTGGTATTGCTTTTGCTGTTGCTCTATTTTCACATGTTGTTAATCATACAATTATTCGTTTACAAAATGCTTTTTATCAATTACATGATGCTCGAACTAAAACGAATGAAAGTGATTCGGAAGAAGAAGAAGAACGTCGACAGGTATTTCAATTTCATATAGAAATGAAGAATAAAACAATTGCTTTTTAATTATAAAAGGCAGAAGCAAAAGAAAAACGACGTCGAATGAAAATGGTATTATCACGACGTCGTCGACAAAGTGCATCATCATCTGATAAAAGTGATCAAAGTGAACGTTCGGAATCAAATGAACGATATCAACGACGAGATGATTCATCAGATGATTATCGATCAGAAGATGAAATACCAGATTATCTTTCTGGAGGTTCATCAACTGATGAGGATAATGAAGAACAAAAAAAACAAGTTATACGAGATGAAAAAGATAAAGAAGCTGAAGGTTATTTATTACTTTTGTTTTTATTATTTGAAATACCGTTTTGTCTTATATAGAATTAGCAATTAAAGTTGCACTTGATGAATTTATGGAAAAAATTAAACAAAGTGGTGCTGTTTTTCATGATAATAATGATTCGCAAACAACACTTTTTTCATTTACGGATTTATCAACACATTTATTTGCTGCATTTGCTTCACATGATTGTCCATCGCCATTATTTCTTGATCAAAATTCATCAGATGATGATCCATATTCAACGTCAACGTACAATTATGATCAACCATTTAAATCTATTCTTATTGGAAATAAACAAATCAATGTACCACCAGGTAAATAACTAGAATTTTACAAAAAAACAACAACGAAAATTTAATCTTTCTAGGATTTGAACATAATAGTGATGCTTTAGCAGCCGCAGAAATTGAACAAAAAATGGCGGAATTTGAACTTGAACCTATTATGGATAATACAACAACTGAACAACAAAATATTGATAATGATCAGTAAGAAAAATCTTAAATTATTTTAATGCATAATTTTATTCTATAGAACTACTCGTTATCATGGTACAAAATTAATTCTTGAATTACTAGAAAACGAATATTTACTTTCTGCCATAAAAACTTTTTGTGATTGGCTTGCTGGAAACAAACGTTTACTTCAAATGTTATTACCGGTACTTTTATGAATTATTTTATTCTTATGTTTCAAATTTTTATATTAGATATCTCCTGGTCTATGGTCAAAATTAGCATTATTATTAAATTTTTTACCTCATGAACGTGATATTATCAAAAGTGGTATGTTTAATCGGATCGCATTCATTTAGCCGACAATCATTTCACCGACAAAAAGTCAGGATCTGGATGTGGTGTGGGTGTGTTATACGATTATTATATACTCACACCTACATTGTGTCCTGGAATACTGGACTTAGTAGCCTATATTTAAATCAATTGAGATGTCAAAAGGTGCCCTGTCGGTGAAATGATTGTCGGCTAAATGACCCGGACTCATTTAATCTTTACATTTTTTATTTGTATATATTGTTATTTTATTAGGTTTAATTCCCTCTACTTCACCAATTCATCCTTTATTAATAAAATTTATGGAAACAAAAGTTTTTGTTTTTCCACCACCAATGCTTGATGAAGATATTCAATTACGTGCATTTCAATCACTAAAAGTTGATCGAAATCATATTAAATTAAATTTAAATCAATTATCATCATTAAATAAATTTGAATCAGTAAGAATAAAACAAAAATATTCAAAAAAAAAGCAATTCTTTATTTAGACAATAATGCGTATTTGTTCACTCCGTCGTTTTGGTTATTATACATCATCATTATTAGCAAATTCACAATTTAATTATGATAATGATAAATCATCTTTTACTGCTTCAGCTCCATCTGAACAGCAACCAGCAACAACAACAACGCCGACGACGACAACAGCAGCAGCAGTAGTAGATCCAATGGTTGATGAAGAACGTAAATCTCGTTTAATGCGTGATATGGCTGCACTCCGTTTACAAGCTGAAATAAGTCAATTAGAAAATAGTTTAAAAAATGAAGAATTTTCTTTACCACCTTATCTGGTTATTGACTCATCGGTATTATGTACAAATCTCACTTTAATACAAAAATTTGTTCAATCACAACGTTTTATTATTGTTATTCCATTAGTTGGTGAGTAGTTACTAAATCGATTTCAGAACCTGATTATTATTTCTTTTCAAGTAATTGATATTCTTGATGAATTAAAAAAAGAACAACGTGAAGCACGTGATGCTATTCGATGGCTTGAAAATCAATTTCGTGCTGGAAATAGGTATTGAAAAAATAATTTCATAGTCTTGAATCTAATATTATATTTAGATTTATTCGTACACAAGCTGTACATGAACGAAT